TTCGATTAATTCCGTCAATATATTTGGCATGTGTGGAGGCGTTTTGCATCAAACGTTGACGAGACAGTTACACAGGAAGTCGAAAGCTGAACATTCCGCACTGTTCACTTTAGGACTAATCAATCACTGAATTGACGTCAAATCTCCAAAGTGTCTAGTAAACGTCCCCTATGCGCCAAACTTCCAGACGAACGGTTCAATATCGTTAATCTTCCTTAAGCTTGTTAAAAATCCCATATCAGATTTTTGATTCACTTCTTATCCCATGTCTCGGTAAGCTGCAGATTCTTGTTCAACCAATTCTAGTCGAATCTGAGCGCTGTACACAGAAGTGGCTGACAGAACAAGAGACTGGTCTATGGTCAGAAGGTGTCTGCCCAGTGGGGTCTATTAACTGGTAATTAGGAAGGATATAACCCACGTGATCAAAATCTCCTAGGGAGTGTAGTCATACAGCATTAATTCTATGTAGACCAGGAACATATGAGGTTTTTCGAAGAGTGTCGAACGCAAAACACCAGTGGAGTCTCGGAAAAGTAATCTTTTCTCAACTGAAAGACTGTCCACCGGTTAAAAGAAAGCCAGACTGCATGCGGAAAATCAACGGCAACAACCGCAGCATGATTCACATGAGACAGACAGACAGTTAGGGAATTACACATGAGAAATCTGAATCATAAGATGGAAAATGTGGCGGTTGTCCAAGGTTTGCTGGTAGCGGGGTGTGGACAGAACCCAGGCTACAATAAATCTTGATAATATGGAAGATTTGAGACAGAGATCAGGTTTGGCGATTTTGCGGAATATATGCAGCTCGACTACGTTTCCTAATTGTTGGTCTGTTTGCCGAGCAAAAGTTTCACCACCAACCTAGGCAACATTGTCAGTGCAGAGCTGAATGCCTAGGCGGCAAAAATCGCCATGCTTCTCAGCCTGAATAGGATAGAGAGCCGGTCCTTATGGGGGGAGTGGTTTCGAATCAAATGATTTGTCAAGTGTCAATCAGCACGTATCAGGAGGATCGTTGCTGCAAGTGGTTTGATTGGATTGTATAAAACTTACAAAACCTCCCTCCGCACCCGTGATCCTCATTCATCCCTACGGAGTGACAAAACATTTCACAGGCACGCAGAGGTGATTATCAACCTAAATGTTGTGGGTTAGCAGTCTCGGTCTTCAGCCAGTCGATGTAGCCCTCACTCAGTTACGCTGACTGAGCCGACAACGAACAACAGGTTTTCCTGTAATTGGTAAGAAACCTCGTTGATAGGCCCTCAGCCTTGCTTAATGCTCTACTATACCTGTAACCAAATCATTTCATCCGAAGAGGTTTCATCTCAAAGGCAAAATGTTTTCGGAAATTTCTACTTTAAATAGACGTCCTTACCTTCCTGGTCGGAGGACATTTATCCTGATAAGGGATCTAACGAAGTGAATGCCATGCGTTGAAGAATCGTCCCGGGAAACACCAGGATACTCCCTCGGTGGAGATTCTTCAACACAGGGCTGACAATTATGTACTCATTATACGCTTCCTGTACTCAGACAATGAAATTTGGCTTTTGTTCAATTTTTTAGCAGATTTATCGAATACAGGAGATGATGGGCTATTCCATTCTGCTTATCGAAGCGCTTGCATGCCCGTGACTCATGTGGACTGGTGCAGTTTACAAGAAGTGTATGATATACACAAGTCCTATTTACTAGGACAGTGTCAGAACGATTTGTGTCTTTGGTTTGCATAACAGTCACGGAAAAACTTAACTTACCTCGGAGCTATATTCGTCTTTATCAGCGGCATGGGTGGGAACTCAGTGAACCTCGAGTCATCATGTTCTGATTTTTCTCTAGCTGCACTTTCTTAGAAGTGAATCGAAGTAGAGAACTGGCGAATTTCCCTGGTCAGATAATCGATCAGTTCCGTAAGCTAGTTTGAATATGTGGTGGGATGATGTATCCATCTGACAGTCTGGGACAAGAACGCTTATTCTGAGAAGAAAATAGCTTGCCTCATCAACCAGAAGGTCGCAGCTACACAATTTTGGACAGTATATCTCCTCAAAGCAGGATGGTTTTCGTGCCGTCAATATTGTTTATTCGTGGATCACCATCATCATCAGCTGTGAGAACCGTGTAGTTGTCGTACTTGTCGTGGATAGGGCAGTTTAGATTCATCTTTCTGATATTATCTGCTTGTTCAGGTATTTTTTGAATGTATGTTTGCTTACATTTCTGAGTATTCGCCCGTCCACGTCGAATTCATGTGCAGAGTGCACGTCTGTCGCGTTTCACATTCTCAACTAGCAGCTATCTGCTACAGGTTGAACATACTCTCAACCATTGTTCTTGTCCGTTGCTTGACTCTGCTATTGACACTAAAATTGATTGTGGTATGCTCAGGTGACAATGATTCTTACTTCCTCTGTGAAAGTACCGAAAACAAATAAGACTATTCAGATCGGATTCTCATTACTGTCCTTATGGATCGATACACCGGCCAGTCCGCGTAATTTACGACAGTCTCGGCCGTCTTCATACAATTATTCGTCCGATTCTTGTCTAGTTTAATCCTGATAGACTAGGTTGATTTGCATTCCTCACACAACTTTAACTTTATAGCCAATGTTTTGGCTGTTGCAGTTCATAACTCCCCTCCTTTCGTTCAACTTTTAATCGGACCAGCACAAAAGTGGCACAGGATGTATGCATAAATGCTGTATAAGCCGCCTGACATTCCGTCCAAAAAATGCTCTAGAATGATTAACGATAGTCACCTGCTCTGTCATTTTTAAATACGTTTGTTTTCTCTCCCGCGTCCAGCTGGTATTTGAGCTCGTTTTACCGTTAGAATAGACAAGTGTGCTTAGCCTTTGTGCGATTCCACCCGCCTGGAACGTAATAGATTGACAAGCTGATTGATCCATACGTGTTCACGAGTTATCTATTCAATGACAAGTTTGTTTTGTTACAAAGGATTAGCCCATGCAAATTTCACGTCATCCTGACACTAGATGAATTGATTGACCTCTCCCTTCTTTAAAATGTACACTAATTTCCGGTCTTTGCCTCTCGTTTGGGGATAGTTCACACGCTCATCAAGCTCAATCCTATTGGTTTAAGTGTCAATTGTTCCTCGAAAGTTTTACTAGTTCAACAGTGAACTTGCAAAATGTACAAAATGTTGCTAACTCTCACTGCCTGAATGACTGATCAGCGGCGAGTCTTGCTATGGTCTCGAATACTTGGATAAGAAATACCAAGCTGAAGTTTGGCTTGCTTCCATTAATGTTGATCACTTGAAGAAATGTGCTATCTAGTTGTAAACCCGATCATGATCATGCTTCTACACTTGTAGCCAGCTGCGTCCCTAACTTACTGTTATGAAAAACCAGCCAACTGAATAGACGTTTATTTAATTTGACATTGGTTATCAAGACGGAATCACCGACCTCCCACCACCAGCACGTATTTCCTTGCTGGTCCCTGGGGCGGGCAACTTCATTGGTATTTTCACTACAGCCAAATTACTACACCAATTTTGGGAGTCTGAATTTTTCCACTACTTGTTCTCTGCGTTTTCAAGTTGCCACACCCAAAGCGATTGACTGGAACAGCGTGGGTTGTGCTATTGTCACCAGTGACATGTCGTCAATCACAACAGCAACTGCCACTATTCATGTTTAATTCCGGTAATCTCCAGGCTACCGGTCACAGATTAATCTTGTTCGCTTGGCGTCGTCAACGATTGGTAGTGGAAAAAAATATTGTCATGACATCCTTGTCAGTATACGATCCATTACCTCATGTCTTTCTGCAATCAGAACCACATATACGCCCTACAAATCTACGGCATCTCCTGATTGACTTTTACGTGGGAAAACTGCTTGTGCTTGTCTTGTCAATAACGGTTTAAAGGAAGTCAAGAAATAGAGGTATCCTTTCAGACTAGTACAATTCGAAACCGCCACATCCCGACGTGCTGTTTCTCACAGTCTGAGCAGCGATTTAAGAAAATTTCATTCACCTACCAATAAAAGCATTATTTTTTAACTTCCACTTGCACTTTCGGCAATACAACCAATACCATTCAGTTGCTTGGCGTTTCACCGAGTTTCTATATGATCAACTACTGCTGCCAACGTATGCCATTGGATATCAGCGAATAGTTTAGATCGATTTCCACTGGATATTAAACGAAGACATATGCAGCACTAGTTGGAAAACGGCTTAGGTTGTCCTATTAGTGGGGTGTCATCATCCGACGAACTTAAACTTTTGTATACCCAGTAGTTACCACATTCAGGCGTTCGTTTTTACTACTCACTAACAGACAAATCTAGATCCGGTGCTTCTTCCCCATACGGACTTCTTAAAATTTGTCTGTCCCGGAAGGGTACTCATATCATGAAGGAGGATGAACAAAGCCACATATTTTCTTTCGAAAAAACAGTCTTTACAGAGTAGGTCCTAAAAGTAAACGAATACGGCACGTAAAAAAATTCCATCAAAGGCTGACTATCAGCCACACTCTGATTCTGTAGCATGTTCCTTTTCAGTATGACGTGGTGCCCCTTGATGTTGTCTGACTTTGGTGCGCTAGCTTCCACACAGCTAAACAAAGGTTTCAATTTTCTTAACATCAGTTCGAATGACCATTTGTATATGTGTGCTACAACAATAAACCCTGAACATTACATTTCGCAGGCGCTTGTTGTTAATTTCATACCTTTTGTTCACATTTCGACCCTTCATTACCAGACTATCATCTCGTTCCAAAAGGGCAGAGTTTATTGTGATCACTACTGTGGTATGAATAATGTACTCTCCAATTACAGTCCTTTTAGCTCGATCAATCCAGAAAAAGTCTGTGCACCAGCTCGACACCTTTTATTTGGTCTCTATTTCAGTATCTTATCTCATCTCTTAACAATGTTGATCTGTTTATCTTTCTTTCCTTCTGATTCCATTTCATTTTTTTGTATTTTTAACATATTCAATAGCAATCATCGCATACTGAAGTCCATGGTAGAACTCACGCATCCGGTCGTACAAGCAACACCGCTGGTTCTACTTTCGTTCGGGATCCACTGCATCCGGGGGCGCCGGCTGGAGACGGTCCGTCGAATCCCATCGAGGCAGACAGCACCGATGGTTTGGTTAGAATTCGCATCAGACCAGACAGTCGTGGTCGGTTCGGCTTTAACATACGAGGTGGGATCGATTTTGGAATTCCGATTATTGTCAGCCGAGTGGGTCAGAATACTCCAGCTGATTTGTGTATTCCTCGATTATATGAAGGTGATCAGCTGATCGCAATCAATGGACGCTCCGTGGCTGGTTATACTCACGCAGAGGTACGTTATACTGTCGGAATCTTCTGGGTTTGTTGGAAGGTACAGTTGTCTTTATCGAGTTACCCGTCTGTTCTACAGAAGAACCAAATTAACTTTTTGTTGGGTTGTATTGTAACACTGTACCTATTCATTCCTGCGTACGATTGGATTGGCTTATTTGTCTGCCATAGACACGCGGCTCCTCCTTCTTCTCATGCTCCATTCTGGACCCTTTCCAGAGCCTTTCTAACCACCCTCCTGACAAATACATCCTCACTACCGCAATGTAGCTATGCACAACGATTGTAACTGTTGGGCCATTGTTAAGCACCAACTATCACATTCTCGATACTACTATATATGCTCGGCCTTTAAGTTTGTAACAGAGAAAGGATCGCTCAACCGATAACAAATCAGTCAGGCAAATCCATTTCGGTCGGCATGGTTTCATTTATGTTTTTTAACAATTTCATCTTAGAACAGTACCGTTATTCCCCAAAACTTATGGTGAACAACTATTCTAGCGAATCAATACCGCTGCTTCACTACTTTCATTTAACTAGCCTCTGCAATGCGACTGCGAGCATCAACTGGTCTGTTGCATTCAGAATATCAGTCTTGCGTTGCAGACATGTAATCAGTATCATTTTTTGTGACCACCCAAAGCTACCGACGTAATTTGATCCTTTCTTAGTCTAACATACCATTCCATAAGAGGACAAATATGTCGGGAAAATTCAAACTACATGCGGCTCAAACGTAGTGGGTTTAGGGTACAACGTAAATCAGGGTCAATTCTAATAATTGCTATACAAAAGTTGTCGTGTCACACTGGAGTACTTTGAGACGAGTTTGTTTTATTACAGCTTTCCATTACTTTATTGATCCTTTCAAGGAGCGACCACCACAGAAAAGAGAGTTTCTGTCCTCTTTCGGGGTGGAGTAGACTCTCTTCTAGGTGCTTTATAGAATACAGCATTAGTGTAGATGAAAATTTGGACAAAATTACGAAAGCTTCCGTGAATTATTGTTGCAAATAAAATATTCTACAACCTTCGCTCATCTCCCATCAAAGATACTGTAACCTAAATTTAAAATTGCCTATTTCGGACACCTTTTGGTTAGGTGTCGTCGTTGGTTTGAAGCAGCTGTTGACTTAGTCAAGAAGCCCTCTATTGATAAATTGTGATCCAGTCTTCACTGTGATACCTTACTTTGATGTTCTATATAAGTGTGCCAATATCCGTGTTGTTCGGAGTTACTTCTTGTTGCTACTTGTTTGCCAATGAATTTTGGGTTTTCTGCACTCTCCTTTTTCCGCTCTTTACTCGGGCGTTCTTTCCTCGGTCCCGTAGGCACCAGTATTGATGACTGATATTTTCCGTCGTTGCTAACTCCGCCTCCACCATCATACGGGATACGTTAACTAAACCCAGGAAGTGGTGCATAAATGTTCTGTGACAAGCGACTGCAATACGCTATTGTAAATTGGACTTTCGTCCTACAAATGAAAATGATTAATGGTGAACAATCAAAAACCATTGTGCAGCTGTTTCATCATTACTCAGAATCCTCAGCAGTATGCATCTTACGAAGCCCTAGGAAGATTCGAACTCGCATTCTCCCGGCTAATGAGCTGAAGGCTTAATCGTTCGACCACGAACGCTAGATCAGCAGCGTGGTTAACTCACACTTAAACAGGATTTAGCTCCATTCGTCCTTCACTCACGGAATCCACACGGGTCCTCGAGTGACAAGTTCTCCGATGAAGTTTTCATCCATCTTGTAAATTATTCTTCCTTTGGGCCACTTACTGACTGATGGCAATTGGGAGCCAATCACACAGCTGTTTAGCCGCCCGTAGCCGGACGGTCTTGGGTTCGAAACTCATTTTCATCGGACGCGCACTGCTGACGATTCCCAGTGAGGATCAGACAGCTGTGCAGTACTTCTCGTCTTTTCATTATTGGGTGACTTCATTGATGGAAGGAAATCCGAATCGTAACTTCTCAAGTTCGTCCTCGTTGTTCTTCGAATTCACCGACCACAGGAGTAGCTTTGGCAAAGGAGAACTTGAGCTGTATAGGTAGGGCTCGATTCGAGCCCAAGATGTGGTTATATAATCCTTGATTTGAGTTTGAATGTGTTTGACTAGCTCAATTACTTTTTGAGCTAATCGGAGGCAGTCAAGATTTGTGCCGTTCACAATTTTCATTCGCTTCTTCTTGAAAGTAGTTCCCATATTTCCTAGGGCTTATGGCCTTTCTTTGGTGCTCTTTCTTGCTCAAGATAGGTGCTAAATACTGATGTAACTGAGGTGACTGTCTGCAAATGAGAATCGTGACCAAGTGCTTTGACTGGAGAAGAAATTTTCTTACTTGTCTCGGCGACTGAGAGTCATAATCAATTTGTGCTCAACCAAAATAAAAGCCAACTTTGTACTAGCAGATTCAACTTTTAACGCGTTCCTTTGCGTGTGAGAAGAAATAATCATCAGTCTTCCATCAGAAAAATATATCAATGACTGCACGTTTTTTGTTTTCGATGTAATTTGAAGTTAATGAATTCGAACTAGCCCTGAGGTACAGGGCTGATCGTGTTCATTTAGACACGCGTGGTTGTTGACACTGGACGGTGAAGTATGTAATCTGCCTACATTTGAATAAACAAATATCCCATTGAGTGCCTATATTTTCAGTTCGATCAATCAAATTCAGTTTTGCAGGCAAACGCATTGTGAATGAGTTCATCTGTGTGAATAGCTAGCCAGTACTGAGCGCTTCTGTTTTACTATCGAGCGGCCTTGGAAAGCATGTTTTGGAGCTCGCTTTCGTTACGCAAAAGAGCCCACTGGCGGGTCCGAAGACTGACGTGTCCATAACTGGCTAGTCACAGGCATCATTATAAGAAACTGTGATAACAAAACACAAATGAACTGATCAACGCGTACCAGATGTCCCGATCATATTCATCTCGGTTAGCAGCTGTTCCTCGAAGGTGCAACATGAGCCGTGTGAGTGAGAAATGGTGCAAGCTGATCACAATGCTGGTTGACCATATTGCAGCCGAATAGCATATTGTTCAGCTGTAAACCTGAAAGTCCTGAGCTCAAATCTCCCCAGCCACACACTATAGGTGATTCACATGTACAGTACTTCTCGAGTTTTCACCGTAGACCGGGCTTCTCACATGGATGACACCTACATCTACATATCAAATTTTTTTGGCATTAGGTCCAGTCCTACCAGTGTGGAGTGGATTTCCTTTCTAAGGATCATCTAGATAGCCAGCGGTCTTTGCTTCCCCGTTAGCCCTGCTAGCAAACTTACCCCGTGGGTGTGAAACCTCTTCAATGCGATGTGCGCTAGATACAAATGTGCGCGATTACAAACGTCGACCTACTTATATAGTCCTTTCCGGTTTGCTCCACACCGTTAAATATGATTGTCGAAAGGCGTAAACAGACAGGCAGACAACGACCAAGTTTATAACGTGTAAAAACTTTATTGGCGTCGGGACCCCTTTGCTGGACTACCTAGCATTAGGACATATTAGGACACAATCCATTGGTAAAGTCTTCTCCCGATGTGGCTGGTTTGTGTTAGCCTTTTGAGTGGTTTCCTCAATAAAGGCAATCTTAGTCGTTGTGCTCATTCGTGAGATGGCTACGTTTTAATGAAATCAGGCCTAATAGTGACAGTAGGCTAGCTTGTCTTTTGCGGTTTTGTGACAATCAAACTGTCGCCCTTGAGATGGATTGTCACCGGAAGTACTGTTGGCCAGAAGGAGTGCATTTTTCCGTAACACCCGTCTAGATCGATTTCCCCACTCTAAAAATTACCATTGGTTTGCTATTGTGTTTTGTAGTTGCTTACTTATCTGCGTCATTGGTTTGCGTCTTGCCTGTCTCGAAAGCATGGCCAAAATCGCCCGTAGGTTGTTCCCAAGCTAATGACCATTTGGTCCGTCTATCAATGGTGAAGGAAACAGCATTTTTACCAAATGTTTTGTCCATTAGTGACGTATTGTGATGTTATCTCCCTGTGGGCATAGCAGCAGAATCCCGGCACCTCCACCCTATATATCATTGCTTCCCCAGAATCGAATCTTGTACTCCAAGAGGCAGAAAACTCTCTCTGTAAATGTTTGTGTGACACAGTGGGGAGTCTTTCGGCGAACCAAAGGGAGGAAAATCTAATAGCAGTCACGAAAACGTGAGGTTAGAAAGACACTGATTCAATTTATCTTCTCAGAACAAAAGAAACATTAAGTGTAGCTGTGAAAATGGTATGTGCGTGCCATGAATGAGCGTCAGTATCCCGATAGTTTTGGAGACTTGCCGAAAACATTATCTCATATTTGGTTTGACTTCAGAAAATGTAAATTCTTTGTGAATGAAATAACCACAGGCCTACAAAGTATTCACGAAGGTTGATACTTCAGCATTTTTGGTTTTTAAGGATAGCTTTTACGAACCCTGTATTTTCATTCAGGCCACAGTCTAGTAACATTTGGCATAACAGATAGATATTGACAAAGCAAGAGAAACTACGTCGAGACCTTTTTCGACTCAGCACGACTTGTGTGGCCTCATGTCAATTTTAAGTTAATTTTTCACTTAGTGTATAACCCTACATACTTAGAGCCATCTTATCTCGTGTTCTCGTAAGATGCTCACAACTCAGACTTATGTTTGAATAACCTGAGCCCAACCAACATTTGACGTGTACACTAATTTGCACACTAATTTGTTTTTACGGGAGACCCACCTGAATCTCTTGTTTATGGTGTCCTTATCCACTTACATTTACCCCACGTCACTAATAAGGTTGCTAAAAACCCTTTGACAGCCCACGATCGGTTGCGATCTTCCTCAGGCTTGTTAAGTAGGCGCAGTCCCCGAGTTTCCCTCAACTTTATGTTACAGCAAATTTATGAGTAGTATGTTACATCTAAACCAACATTATCCTCATGGTAGTCAGTGAAAAAAACTGTGGGGAAGGTAATCTTAGTTGACGGTGACAATCCGGAGCTGGGTCAACATTTAGCGCGTGTCATATCTTCTGGTCAGTGGCTACGCACGCCTATGCACTCCGACCCCCGCTTATTTTATGTCGTGACGACAGCCGGACTAGTGCACTTCACGACAGAACATCGACAAGCTGGTATAGTGGTAAGGAAGAAGCATAAAATAGAAAGTGTAAAATGGAAAACGGGAACAAGTGGTGTGAAATAAAATAGGGATGGCCAATCGCATTTTTTTCAGCCGCTTCTGGCTGGACGGTTTAAGTGTTCAACCAACTGGTTGCAAGTTCGCGTGTTCGGGACCCCTTAGCGTTTCATGAGACGGGCACTGTTGATGTCCCCCGGTAATAACCGAACAGCCGAATAATTCTTCTGGGCTTCTCTGTGTAGACTGGCTTCACTTACTGGGCGAAATCTGTTTCAGGAATCCCCATTCTACGTAGTTTGGGATTCGGAACTATCGCCTAAGTTATCAATAATCGGCTCTGAGCGAGTACGATGCGATTGAGGGCAGCATGAAATAGAGCATCCACTAAACATATCACCGCTTTCGTACAGCAAACAAGAGCTGAAAACGTACCGGTGATATGAAAACCCAAGAGGACCACCACGATTTATTTAGCACACGTAACTTCCTAACTGATTCTTCGTTGGATGGAATAGAGAAATTTGATCATTTCAAGTTGTCAGAATTGGTCGTCTAGCAAAGTACATTTTTATTTCACATACATTCATACATACATTCACATACATTTCACACACATATGCGCATCACTGATCGTCTTTTTTGTGAGCACAGAGAGTTTTCAGAAATCCAGCTATAAACTATTTGGGCTTGATAGACTTCATCTCAATCTTATGTACCTCGATTCTGGGATACATAAACTTCCGTCTAAAAGAAATTTCTAGGGGACCATAGATTAGATTAAAGCAAATAGTTTCTGGTGCATTCGGACCAACGTTTAATTTTTGCAAATTTTTGTGTTTAATTCTTTGGCGCAAATTTAACATCATTACAATCTCTGTGTCATGCTGTCTATCCTCTCTGCTTAACACTACAGGTGGTTGGATTTTTAAACGTGGCAAGGGAAGACACCGGAGATGTACTTGAACTGCTGGTGAAACCAAGTGGTAAGTTTCATTCCTGTCTATCGCTTGTCCACATTAGTCCCTCTTATATTGGAAATTGACATCTAAAAGAGAATTAAGACCATGAATTCAATAAATAACTGTTACTTCAGCCGACTTTAGCTGTGTAACTAGACACCTTGAGACAAGCTCTTCTGAGGTAGTACTTTCTCAAAATCTACTCGGCGTTCATGGGATTTTGATAAATACATGTATTATTTAAGTTGTCGCGCTGATGCCAGAAGTTGTCTTAAGCTTCGCGATCTGCGTTGATGAATCCCAATTATTGGCCATCTAAGGGTTCTACAGACGTTTGCTTCCCCCCCCCCCACACACACACAAGCCGTTGTGTTATTTTCTTGACAGAAAACAAACAACCAAAAACCTCACTTTTTTGTTCATCTTCTTGCTATAAATCTTTTGTCACCGAATTCTTATTTGGTCGTGTTCCATTTAAGAACCCACGAGACCTAATAATTCAGTGTTTGGTGACAGCTTTATCAATAGACGCGTCCACTGATCTCGAACAACGGCAGACTGCGACTAAATCAAGAGTAGCGTATGGAGATAATTTCCTGCACGATAATATTCTTTAGATACACCTGCAATCAGCACCAGATACACAGCTCTGATGGTGACAAATTCCTCGTCGTTGGACCATGAGACCGCCGGGACTGATTAGAGTGGGGATTGCTGCAATGAAGAAATAAGCGATACATAATGGCATTCAATTATCCGATGTGACCATTAGAGTGTTGAAACAGCCATCAATAAACGTTTCAGATAAATCGGTACTCTGGAGTAGCCCCACACCGTTCCAAAAAACCTGTTTATGCGAATTCTGGTGCCTTAATAGCACCAAGCGGCTGGATTTCAACATTCCGTGATACTAAGTACCATCAGTTGTTCCCACTTCTCCCGCTTCCAGTGCGCAGCTACCTACCTCACCTCTCCAAATAATTGGTGACCAGAATTATGGCACCTTCAAACACTGTGCGACAAGTACATGGTTCTTACGGCTGATAATGATAATAATGACAGATGAAAACGAGTAGCGAAACAGCGAAATGGAGTCAGCCCTATCGTGACCCAAATAGGTTCTTAAGTTTCAAGCTGACTCACAGCTTTTGTCGAGACATTTTGGGCGCACAACCTGGATCAGTATTTATTTAATGGGCATTTCAAGATGATGTTATGGAGTAAAATTTTGAAAGCCATACCGCAGTCAGCTCTGTGACCAGTGGATATAATATGTTCAACTAATTAAGAGGCAGATTCATCGGTATGGGTTTGTAGACCACTGGCCGATTGATTAGTCACCTGACTCAAATAGCGAGGCAAATGTTCCGAGACAGGTTCGCATAAGCTCCTGTCTGTTCTGCCAGTATTACGTTGCAAGTGCACGCGAATCAGTACACAACATCTGAGACAGTGAGCTTGGGTACAAAACGTGACCCGCATTAACATTTGATTTACGGAGGATGTGGAGCACTTCATAAAACGAGTACAGCATATAATTTGTGCCGTATGGTTGCAGTTATGTGGCATCCCTTAAATTACGGTCTGATAAAAATTCATTTTACTGAATGGTCGAGCCATGATGTTCTGTGGACTTTATGAAATTCCCATTGGCAGCCGCTGAAAATCAACACCCTTTGTAACAACCCTTCTTCTTGCAGGGTCAGGAATGCATGTACCCATGTTGTGGTCTAACAAAGTGGGCAACAGTCTTTTTTATGAGCTAAACAAGGAAAACTGAAAAACTGCTAACACTGTCCAAATAATGTGGGTTTGCTATGCACAGAAAGCCTAAGCGTGCAGTTTAGCAGTAACACTATCAGAAAATGTGAGTCTGTTACCAGTCTGTATCCCAAAAATTCACTGATAGGTTTGGACGTAAATTTTTTACATGGTTGTATTGGTTCTCAGAGTGTTTGAAACTTGCGTGAAGTACAATGTTATCCACATACTGTTTGTAGATTGTGGTATTGGGGACATACTCAGAAAGCTGCCTTTCAATCAAACCTAAAATATCCTTACTAATAAAGATCCAAGCGGGACATCCGGTGACATGGCATCGATTTGTTTATACGTCTGGCCTTCATAGTTAAAGTACATGTTTTCCGCACCTAAGAGATTCAGAGCTCTAATATACCCACAGAGAGAAGAAATTCTGTGTGTAGTAATCAAATTAAACAGTCTGGTGCTAAAACCTCCCAGAAGGGAAGAGTTTACATTCATGGAGAATACCTTTTGTAATAGTAGTTCTCGCCTGTCTACCAAAATTCGTTTCATTCCACTTTTGCTACCGGAACTGTGGTAAAAAACATGATTAATCCTTTGAGTATGGCGTCATCCTTTTCTAATCAGCACATTCTGGTTTTATCCATTCACATCAACAACAGATTTAGTTTGGTTTCCAAGGCTCATTCGTATCGTTGTTGTCGTTCCGGTCTCCTATAGCCGGAACTCCTTCCTCGCTACTAGAGCGGTGAGTAGTCTACTCCCTCCGAAATCGTGCGGATCAGTACACCAGAACACAACTGCATGGCATGATGCGGTACTCAGAGTCAGGCTGAATCAAGAATTAGACTCAAACATGAGGAAACCAGAATTTCACGAAATTCATCAACGACACTCACGTAGCTGCATTGTGAAATAACAAGTTCGCGGATGCTAATCAGGCAGAAAATGGCATTGTTTCTGTCGGTTTCCACCAGGCTTGAAGAACTCCTTAGGCTTCTCGCGATAACGTCGATGAAAGAACTTTGAAATAAGGGAATGAGCTGGTACAGGACCAACAGAATAGATAAATATGCTGCAAAATGAGGGGAGGTAAGATTTGACAGTGGGCCTCCGAAAAAAGTGGTCGAATTTCACTCACATCCACGAACTCACTCGGATAAATAGTTGTGAACATGGAGCGAAATTTTCCTACGTAAAACTATCGATGGAAGTGGGTTTCACACCCGCAAGGCTGTACTTTTTTGTGTTTTTTAGCTTCAAATACGGACACTTGTAGTAGGCTTCAGGACAAGAAAAGTAACACGATATTCTGTGTTGTCATAGCCAAACGATTGAACATAAGGCGCGTTTGGCATCTCCCTATGGACTGCCTTTGGAAAAATACACTTTGCCCGACTTAAGAAGTTTGCAGGAAAAGCAAACTGAAGTGCACGGTTAGTTATGCTAGCGCTTACGGCGATGTGTATTTTCCGACGAACACTCCTTAGCGCTTGCGGCGATGTGTATTTTCCGACGAACACTCCATGTTGCCCAGTTTCTGTCTACTTTGTCCACTCACTCCACGGGATACTGATTAGACTAGCTCGAGGTCAGCCTTTTTTCACACTTTTTTCAGTGCGTTTTCCAGCAACTGAACCGGACCATTCTCACTTTTACTTTGTCAGCTTCAAGATTTTATGGATTTCTTTCCTCTAATTTGTACTGTCTGATATTTTGTAAACCGTGGAAATGAGAACGTAGCACACGTAAAATGGGGCCTCATTTTTTATAGTTAGAATTTCCTCCAGACGCGCTCTCCTGTTCTACAAACGCCTCTGTTCGTGGTACGATTCTCTTTATCTAGCTCACAAAATCAACTTGATAAGTCGGCTTTACTTGGATTTTTCATGCAGTCAATGACGTACAAAAGGTAGTGTGATATGTGTCAAGGTTAATCGTTTCATTGAGGCGAGGTGTGGTCACAAACTCGGGTTTCAATCCTGCTGTCTGATCCGGAAGCTTTTGTCTGAAGAGGAGCTCCGTGATTTTTTGCTCTTTAAGAGGTATTTAATTTGGAGCATATTGTAGCTGTTGAATGATCACCTGAGTTGGCATATAGGGATTCAATCTCAGCGACGTAGACAATGAGGTGTATTTTGTCATCATTCCGCCCTAACGAACAAGCTTCAACACGACATTCCAAATGTCATTAGCTACTGGTTTTTTGTCTTGCTTGACAGGAACCCAAAAAGGTCTCAATTTGGCCCCAGTGGGTGGATGCCAATTATATTTGATCAGTTTGGTGTGCTCTAATGTGAACTGGTGACCAATACACTGAACTGACAAACGTAAATAGAACGTGGAGTATGCTATTAGGGTCTTAAATTCTGAGTAGCGTTGACATATATATATATATATATGTATATAATTTCTGAACTGTTTTGACGAATGACTTGCCAGAGGACTCTGACTGTGGATACTTACAAATTCAGTCGAGTATATCCAGAACCCACCTGTTTCAAGCGAACTTCATTTATCAGTCTTACACTTTTCTTTGTTTCGGTGTGATCTATTTTGGGAGAACAAGGACTGGTTTTGATGTCGCAACCCATCCCATTGTATAGCCAAACGAGCGAGCATCTCAAACCATTTTTCCTCTCACTGTATTAGACTACGTCACAGACTATTTCAACGGAGAGACAAATATTCCGGATTCTGGCGATGCACCACCCCTTCCTCCACGCTCTTCAATGTTCTCCACTCGCCAGTCACTTACTGGAGACCGCCTATCGGTTATTTCACGGAGAAATAGCGTGAGCTCTTCGAAACGCGCATCAACTGCCAGCTACACACAAACCACAGAGGCTTTGTTACTATCAATCTTGGATCTAGAGCACAGCTTGGCCGATGGAAGTATCCTCAGTCGCTTTGAAGTAAGTGGGTCATATCTTGCTACCTGCCGTTGCGACGAATCTTGTGGAGCAGTGCAAGCGGCTAACGCTGTTGCGGCAAAACGTTTATTGACACCGCCGTAACCGTATTCGCAAACCATAACAGCGTTGCATCCTTTTCAATTTGTCCTCGGTAGCGCTTCATATTCCGTTAACTTTCCAGCAAATAAATCCTGAGGAACACTTGGTACTGAATGATCCACATTTAGCTTCACAAAGACAGCCCCACATTCCCACACTTTCTATGGATATAAGTGGCCACTTTTTTTAAAAAATCATCAGATTAATGCAAGCTTTTTAATTGCTAGAAAACCAGCAATAATAACCTATCTATCTCATTCTGATCGTCATCTGCTATAACCTATCTATCTCATTCTGATCGTCATTCTGATGTTTTTGTCTGTTGGTTCATCACTGTTGACGTTCTCACCAGACCGAGGCTTCACTTGGGACATTAGGTCGTTTTTGTCACACTTTCGATCTTCAGCAAGCCGTTTTAACTTGACTACAACTATTTGTCGTCTAGCTGGTTGATACAACAACAAGTCCTAATGTGTGGCAATTTTAAATCTTTTTTTCATACTGTTCGCATAATCTAGTGGTTTTAATATTAGAAGAAAGCTTTTCGGACATGACTGAAGTCACTTGTGCATTCTTATATTTCACAAATCTTGTGTGTGAGAGTTTTCAAAAGTACGTGAAAATATGTAAACAAGAAGAATGGGCAAATACTTGGTTTTTAAGAATCTTGGGAACGAAACATGAGAGACGCAAGTTGTGCAAACACATTCGTGATGTGAAAGTGAGCTAGAGCAGATTGTCTTAGGACAATATACTGTATCGGTAATATATTAGTAAAATTGAGCGTCTTGTTTAAAAGCTTGCACCTATGAACAGCAAGCTAAAAGAGCCGCGGTCTTACAGTGTAAGCATCGTCTAAACTACTAGATCGGCGCTTCATGATAGGATCATGGTTTGAAATTCGAAATCTTAACCTGAGCGGGTGTCTTAACAGAAGACTCATTCAGAGATCCTCGGGCGACATTTTCAGAGTACCAGCCTACTACGCCACTAAAAATCACGTGGAATCAAGGTAAGGCATGAGATTTGCTTGCTGCTCATCAGTTTCCATCTATTGAAGCCACATGCTGTTAGCAAAGGAGTCGTTTAAAATTAGTTTAAAGTTCATAGTGGAATTCGATTTAGAATTTCGGTTGAATAAATCAGCTATTTTCTACCTCCTTGTTAGTACAAATCTCATCGCAGCGATGATGACAGTTCACTTCGTCACCTAGCTAACCATACCTGTCGAGCCTAAACAGCTGACCTATCCCAAATCTGAGTGTGTGAGTCGGGCAAATATGTGAAGGTGGGTAGCAGTAGTCGTAAACCGTTTCAGTCTCGCTCTAGACGACGCATCTGTTGGTGAACAGCCATAAACCTGAACATTAGGTCAGTTAGAGCAATCTCGACCACACCCAGTTAGTTGGGAAGCAACATTGTCCACAGACTAACGTCTACCGGTTGACGTAGCAAATTCTCATTGAAATCCGTAGTTGGTTGTAGATCTGTTTGATCTATTTGTCTGGCTCGGCAAATATGTTTTCTTATAAGACCCGTGTAATTGGTAGCAGTTTTTCAATCAATAAAAAATAGAGCCTGTATGTTGAATCGAATTCTTGGATTTACGACGGTCTACCGTCAACATCGTCGCCAATTTTTCCGCTTTAGCAAACATACAAACAAATCAGTCGTCACTCTTAACTTTTAAACATTCAGACTGATGAGGCTTATCCTGATCAGCAGTGCCTTCCATCCACAAGGCTTTCTTCTTTTCTGTGGATTCCTCTCGTCGCCAGTCAGACAGTCTTTGATTGATTGATCGCATTCACGCTCGAATGGCCCGAAATTACAAATGTTTCCACAAACTAAGCTGCTCATTTCTACCCCTGCTATTAAACATTCGATTGATTTATTTTCCTTTTCTGTGATTGCCCACATTCTTTACCGTTAACCTCTCACTCTTTCACAGAATAAATTATTTCTATGTATAATATGATGTATACGCCCTACTTCGCCCAGATAAGCAACTGAAATTTTGGATGTTTGTACTAGACAGAAGTCTCCCAATGTTGTCTCATTTATCATCGGCCCAATTGTCATTTGTAGCGTTTCAGGACTGTGTTAGTTCCCAATTACGATCTGTTTTTCAGTCAGTTGACTTAGTCATTGCATAACACTAGTGTTTGCTTATACGGCGGCTGGTTTTTTGCTCATTTGCCTGTTGTTGATCACAAAAATTGCATATTATCATCTTCCAGCCACACTGTAGATCCCACAAGATGCTCAATTCCGCATTGAAATGTGCTCTCAATGTAAAACACTCCGGTATTAAAAAGGGAGATTCACCTCTCTTTCATGATATAATTGACGAGTCAATTCAAGAAGAATGCCCACCTCCGCCGTTTCTCATCACCATTTGAGCACTTTATGCAGAGTTCTGATACTTCTGACCAACTTCGTTACTCGTCTGTCTTAGGTCTTAGGGTTCGATTTCTTGGCTTATTTCGGTTTCCCACTCCACCTGCTGATACCGTTCTGTCTTCTCTTGGTAGTAAACCCGAAATTCTTGATAGATTTTTAGGGCAGTGGAAATTCCAGTAGGAATTTGTCAAGAAAACCCACTGAATTTCAGGAAACTGGATGGTTAGCTGAGCTGGTTGAGTTTGAGGCTTTCTACTATTTTTGTGGAAGCTTTATTGGACGGCCGATGGATTATACCCCTTTGAAAACCCGCCAAAGCAATTTCCGTTATATTATACGGCCTTAGTGGCCAACTTATTTTGTGTTTCAAGCACGTATATGATCACATATCCTATAAAGCAAACCTTATCAATGGAGGGACATAAATAGGGAGAGCCAAAATGTAACGAACTACAAGGTGTTTGTATTCTGGGGTTTTGTGGACTGACGAATAAACACTCAGCCAACACTCAAACTTAGCCTACTGGATATGACAGAGTAGAAAGCATAACAGTTTGTAGGAGTATGTGTATATAAGAATAAATGTATGAATGGAAGCTTACTGCTTTTTAAAGATCAGTCGAATGCATATGCCTTGTAGGTAAGACTGCAAAGCATCGATGTTGGACACTAATGTCATACTGTCGATAATGATGATGATGACGACCATGATCATGATAAGCTTTGTGGGAATATTTGAACTGTTGATATCCAGACTAAGTTATATTCACTGACAAGTTTTATCTTCCTGACTTCCTGAAAACTGGAATGCTTTGACCGATGCTCAAAGCACTTTTTAAGGAATGCTACCAAACTTTCAGCTGAAGACTTGTGCTCAGTGCCATTCAGGGGTTCAGATGCGTTCATCCGCACTGTGTATATGATATACGGGGACCCAGCATCCGTCTGCTTTCCCCAAGACGTGGAAATCGGGAACAGTAAGCAATAGCCTTCCGCTTCAGTGAGTTTATACCTGACTTCCTATCGATCCTTTGCAGCCTCAATCCCTGGACCGCTGCTCTTTTTGACTTTCATTAGCTCCCGGTGACCTTTCGATTCCCTTGTATGCTGTTTCCGGACGATATCAAGCTTTGGAAGGTGGTACAAATCAATGCAACCAAGCTAATCTGTAGACTTTCGTTTTATCAGCAAACGCCTGACCATTGGAGCACAGCTTACAGTTCAGTGGAGAACAATGTCACCTACTGCCTTTCCCACCCTTTTAGATCACAATGTAGTCGCATGGTCGCACAAGAATACGCATTCTGCATCATAATCATCCGGTGAATTATAAGCGACCATCTACGGGTGGATGAGACGACTTTGGTTGTATATCCTACTGATGCCAGCCATTATTGATGGTCGCCGATCACGTCCAAGCAGGTTACGACCCTGTTTTGGGCAAGTTACTGCATACGGTCGTTGAATGTACTGAGCTACATGCCCCTGAAGCGTTACACACTTTGAAATGCTCCCAGACACACAAATCCACATTTTAATTTTCCTTTATTGGTGCAATTGTGGGGGCATTCTGCTCTCCGTCCTTCTAACAAAGTTGAGTTGTAAGCTTTTTTCTGCATCACTGAAACTTAGTGCTTACAATCAAGTACATTATATGGTAAAAACAACACCGGCTTTGTCCTTCTCTTCCTCTTATCAGTCTTCTCTTGGCAGCGATTCAGACACCGTAGCTTGGTTGTCACCAAGATAAATCCAAATCGTTCAAAAGTACTGACAAAAAAACGCCAGTATCCCAGACTACTTGTCTGGGTTTGGGGGGTGACTTCTTGCATTTCGTCCCTCACGACTATGTCACAACTGTCCCACCAATGTTTCCCTATTTACAGCCAATTTATTGTTTTCTGTTCTGTCTGATATTTTGCAGCAATTACCGCGGAGGAAACCCGGATTTACCACAATTGCGTCACGCCTGAATGAGAACATTCTGAAAAATCGATACCGTGATATTTCTCCATGTGAGTATCATCCAAGCTTAGTCATTTGGCTCGCTGGTCTATTTGCTCATTTTCCTGATTATTGCGAAATGTGCATTGAATTCGCAGACTAGACACGCGTCGCAGGCATCCAGTAATTGATGTTCGTTTGTTTGTTTGTGGGCTTTTTTGTTGACATTTCTAACCTAGCCATTTCATCAGACTTGAATAGCTCTTTCGAGAATAAAATTACTGACAAAGGGTTAGCGGTTAAACACCCAATTCCACTTCCATCAAAATTGCGTCCAATTTACTAAAATGCAGGACCTCTGTTTTATGTTTGTGAACTCGACCTGACATTTAGTTCCAAGATTCCGTGAAAATGGTTCTCAATTTCGAAAACCCTTGTTTCGCATGCAGTGTACACATATTGACCCTGTTTTATTGACCGGCCGGTCGACTGTCTTCTTATTCAAGGCAGTGGCCAAGCTACAGACTTGAAAACCTATTGCCTCAGACTACACG